AGGGAAAGAAAAGACAGAATATCATAGAACCTGGATATGGTCTGGACCGAGCAATCTCTGATTACATTTGAGAGCTTTATGGAGATACCTAAGAGCAACATGTACATTGCCCAGGCCTTCCTCCATCATGGCTACATTAATGTATGTGGCAGCAGTATTTGGATGAGATGGCCCACATGTGAGATGTAGAAGATACAAGGCACGCTTAACATACCTAATGACAAAGATTATTTGAGTTGGACAGCAGAAAGGAAGCCAAACCAAAAGAAAACACAGTTCTTCTGAAACCCAAGATTGGCAAGAATGAAAACATCCTTGAAATGGAGAAGAACATTAACTGATTGTTAAATAAAATTTCCTGAGAACTTCAGAAGCTTATCAAGAACAAGTACGAGTAGGCACTTAAGTGAAAACTCTAAATAAAAATTTATAGTGACCACCCATAATGGTGTGGGAAAACTTACTTGAGAGCTAACTCTGTATGCTGAAGCCTGTAATAGAACACAGCAAGATCCCCATAACTCTTCATTGTATCTGGATGATCAAGTCCTAGCTCCCTTTCATTGATATCTAAAGCCTTTTGCTGATATATTGTAGCCTGTATATTCAATAATATTTTTATTGCTATGTCTGAAAAACATATATATCTAGATCATGCAGCCTAAAGAGAGAGATGATCTACATTTCTTTCCATAGGTCGAAGCAGTCTAACGAATAACAGAAACATCAGTCTGACGAATTAATATTTGTTTAGTCACCTAAAAGACTGAAAAACACCCATTTAACAACGGACCTGGTTAAAGTCACCAGTGTGATACAAAACTACAGCAAGTAGACTGTAAGCTCCTGCTGTCATTCGGTGATAGGGACCACAGACAGCTACAAGCTTTGCAAGAGCCTAGATAAAAAAAAAAAAGAAAACAGAGAAATAAATAACTCATTATGTTACTGTATGGAGATTAACAGTAACATAAAGAATTGAGGACATGTACCTTTGTTCCATATGTAACCGCATCTTCGAGCTTCCCTTTGTCTAAAGCTGTTTTAGATGACTCTAGAAGTTGCCTCCCATCAGCAGATGAACACGCTGCTTGCTGCAGAAAATTTGGAAGTCTTAATAATTACAGCCAACTAACAAACTATAAAAGAATGCAAGTGCATGTAGAAACTTGACAATGTAATTATATTCTTTCTCGTTCATTACCTTATGCACAGGGATCAAGCTGACAACATCTGTTTTCCGGAATGGTTCTGGAGAATCCATGTCAAAGTCCCTTGGAATCAGCTCAATGCCAACCTGAGAACATTTCAAATAAAGAAAAAAAGAGAAACCTATAAACCATAATTTGAATCTCCTCAAATTTAACCTCATCCATGGCCCATAAATTCCATACACTTTTTAGGCTAGAAGGTTAGCTTATCGAATGTCACAGGACAATATGTAAATGACTGACAACAAGTAATACACTCAACTTTCTGATTAAGCTTGCATTGGATACCTTATGGCATAACCCACGCAAAATGGCGAACTTCCTTAGGTCCTTGTAACTGAAAGCGTTAAGATCATATTCATATCGCTTCTTCAAGAACTTCTCCAACCACTGAAAGACCAGGGGATGGACATTCCAAGACTTCTGCAATGCTACATTTTCCGGAATCCCAAGCATCATATTTAAAGCAGTAGCTACAGTTGCAGCTATTTTATCGGTGTCAGCAACAGCAGAAACCACTGCCTGAAGGATATGCTTAAAGGCTCGAACTATCATCTCATGAACACAGAGTGCTTGTACATGTGACAACTTATCAGAAAGCTTGACCTGTTGTAAGCAATAAAAAGCCAAGGATTTGGAGTTAAATAAGACATGTGTCTTTCCCAGCAACATGTAAGCATCTATGAATTCTAAATACCACTAAAAAGGATATGTATCAACACTAACAGTTCATAACTGAGTTGCCTAAAGATACATTGTTGACTCAATCATGTGAGATGTGGAAATTGCCTTTTCAAATTAAAAAGAGACAGGGAAGGCCTCAGTTGAAAACTACAATAACAAATGAACACGAAAACATGAGCAGAAAACCACAGCAAAGTTTACTTCTCAAGAAAGAACAAAACCAACTTACAACATATCCTAAAGATCGCATCCGAAGGCCTCTTGTGTGCATAAAATCAGTTAGTGTCCGGCCGTCAACTGGGGAGAGCTCCAACGAACCAAAGTCTGCCACCTGTATTCCGAGATACACAAAGAACCCACAGTTGGCAATGGTATTAACTATGTGGATGGACAATACATTATGAAAATCTGGACTCATTACCAGTTTTGGAATAGCAACTTCAGTGTAATAGTTCTGTGCCAATTCGACAAGTTCTTGAAGAGACTGTTGAACAAATAATCTTATTAGTTAACATGTTAACACTTAACACATGAAAAAATAGCAAAACTCTGTTTAAGTCGGCTGTACAACCTTTTGATGAAGTCCGGTGTCTGATTCTTTTAATCGAGTGAAAGCTGCATCAGACAACAAGCTCTTCAAGACAAGCTCATTTTCTTTACCGCTGTTCTCAGCATCAGGTTGTGAAGACACAGCCACTGCATTAGTCACCTCCGTAGAAACATCATCTGCATGAGATGATGTTGTACACCGTGCCTTAGGATTGTTTCCTTCTGACTTTTTCTTGCTGTTATTGAGGGACTTTAGCGGTTTTCCAAGTCCTTCAACCTTCAACTCATTCTTAGCCTTCTCACTGGATTGCTTTTTGTCTTTCTTTGTATTCTTCTGATCTTGTAAATGCTGTATCCAGCAGGCCCCGAGCTCCCATCGCATGAAGTTATCCCTTTCCAGCTCTTTTTCCTCAAGCTTAGAAAGACTTTCTTCCAACAACCTTTCAACAAACTCTTGGGATGACTTAATCTCTTCGTGTTCTAAGGCTTGTAGTTGTGGTGTTTTCTTATTCTGCTCTGGAGAGGAATTATGGAGAAGTAATCTCAAACTGTAAACAACACATAAGTAGTCAAACTGTCAACAACAGAAAGATATTCTACAAGCAACAAAGAAAATACTGAAGTTTTAGGGCTAATAAAACAAAATATTAAAAGAAAATCACAAATACCAAACTCTGAGATACATAAAGAGCATACTGTAAGCAGGTAACTTCTATACTAATATTTAAATGATCACCTGTTAATATTAAGAGCATTGGCACCGCCTTCAGGTTGTTCAAGGAGGTCAACAATTTGAGAAGATGAGCTTACTTCCTTGCATTCCTCTATTTTCACAACAGCGATGTAACCACAATACCTCAAATTTATAGTTCCCAGAGTTGCAGTATCCTGCACACAGAAACATGGCAAAGAAATTTTAGGGAATATTGAGGAAGATAATTCAGACATGGAAACTAACAGGCAGGTAGGTACTCTTGTTTGCTGGAAAATACTCACATGAGCTGCTGTATTTTCATCGGCAGTAAGTCCTTTGAGAAGGTTCCGTTCCATTAGCTTCTCTTTATCCAACCCTGATGCTTGAATTCCATCGATCTTTGTATCCATCTTACAGCTTGCATTTGAAGTATCCCTCATAACGGTGACACTCAAGTCCCCAACTCTCTCAGTGTAAAGAATTTCTGAGTTTTCAACCGAGCCTGGCACAGACATTACCTTCTGCACAGCCTTGATCGCTCTTAAGATCCCAACATCGACAAAGAGGTTGTGAAGAAGAAAGACTTTCCTGTCTCTGATTTGTCTCTCCTCTGCCGTTTTGCAAGGCATAGACGCAACAAAGGCAAACTCGCTCGCCCATGGAACCAAATCATAGCTGCCATCTCTTCCTTGGCCACCACCATTGCCACCCCATTTCTCATCCTCTACAGGGAGGGGCGGAAATGATGACGGTAACTGTGCCGCTACAGGAGGAATTAGCCACGTGTTGGCTCTAAATCCATATGGAAGATTCCCAAACTGCACATGGATTAGAAAATTCATCAACCACACACCAAAGCTTTTAAAGAATTTCATTTTAACATATGCTTAATGGCGTCCTCTAAATTTGCCAATCACATTGAGAATCATACTTTGTTACGCTCTGAGAATGCTTTCATGAGATCACTGTAAGCCTGAAACATGCAAAAGATACCAACAATTCAATATAGGATGACGAAGCAGAACTGTGCAATGCAAAAACCATGGATTATGACAAAACACACGTTATCAAAGACTCTACTAAGCTGCCGAAGCAAATCAACAAGGCTGTGACATAAAATTCGTAGTTTCCCGACACTGTAAAACCCCTTTCTGCAAGCTTCAACGTGAATCAGCTTCCCATTACAAAGCTTCACCTGAAATAGCAAAATTTTTCACCAGATGACCAATTTCGAATTTGACAACCAAATGCGAGAATGAACTTATCAAATTCGTTATCGCCCACTTACATCGAGGGAGAAGAGATGATCGTCCTCCGAGATATCTTCAATTTCCCGTTTCGTCACTCTCCGTATAACTGAAACCGCGATCAAATCATAAACGTTGTATAATTGAAAAACATCAAATTCATGCGAACACACACACGCAGGGAGGGAGGGACGGACGGAGGGAGAGAGACATACATTGAAGCGGAGGAGGGAGGTGAGCGAGAGAGAAGAACTCGTAAAAGCTGCCAAGCTTAGGGCAAGAATGGCTGGTCTCTCCGTCTTCATCGATAACCGAGTCCTTCGATGGCGCCGATTGCTTGATCGCGGCGTCGCCGGCGGCAGGATCACTCTTGGAGTTCTTTCCTGCAACCTTAACCTGTGCATTTTTGGCAGGATCTGAATTCTCTGGTTCCTTAGTCGCAGCCGAGGGTCCGAAGCAAGTAGTGCAGGCGACTAGGTCGAGCACTCGTCTAACGTGCGCCACAGCCGCGCCTTCGTCGTAGTCCTCTGCCAGTTGTCACCAACGGTCACAATTATAATCGTGGTCGTGGACACAAGCGACACCATTTGATTCCCAAAACGGCGTCGTAATATCTCTAGACTCTAATTAAAGAGACGACGTCGTATGATTCACTGTTTACCTTCGACCAGCTTGAGAAGGCACGGTTTGAGCGCCGAAACGTCGACCACGTCTTTTAACCGCGGGCCTCTGACCTGTTTAAAAAAAAAAGGGATTTTAACTGGGTTAAAATGTGAATAGACCTTTTTGCCCCTGTATTTCTATATTTTTTTCTTTGCACGGTTTGAATTAATTTTTTTTTATGAAAGTGATTTGTTTAGGCACAAAAACACATATATTTCTATCGGGGGGTCACTTTCGTTTTCCTTTTTGCACGACACGTTCTCGATGCTAAATGATGGAGAATTCAACAGTGAATACTGAATGTGGACATTTTTGTACCGCCGTCGAATCCTCGTGTACTTCTCCATGGATTCAGGAGCATTTTATAGATGAAAATATTCTAACTATATATTTTATTTAACGCTTTAAATTTGGAGTAGTTAAAAAAAAACCTGAACTTATCAAACACTCTTGAAAAAAGAAAGGGATTATGTCGTGAAAATACTTCCTTGTCCGTATATAATGACGAAATTTCCTTACCTCGTGGGAAAGGGAAAAATGAGTGACGTGGCAAGTGTCGACGTTAACGGATAGAAGCCGCCGAATATCAATGATCCTGTCCGTCGAGATTCCCTGTTTATGACTCACTCTTATGAATTGCCTTTATAATATCAAACATGTGAATCTTATGGCCAAAGCTTCACTTGTATTAGCGAAACATTTAATAAATTACACAACTAACATTTTAAAAAAATATACACACTCCTACAAAAATTTCCTTGTCGAAATTAATCACATTTACGCAACTTCTAATGACCATATATATATATCCACGGAAGAAAACAAACAACTTGTGTACATGTAATAATATCGTCGTGTTGCAAAATTAATTTGTATGCATATAATCAAGTCGCCGTCGTCGAAATAAAAAGACAACGCTCAGGCGGTGTAAAAAAAAAATATTGTGTACGCTAAGAAATACATTCTAATACGCAACCAATCGCCAAAAATTCAATAAAATGTATTTTATCTAAAATAATATATATATATATATATATACACACATATATAAAAAAACGTATATAGATTATAAAAGGAGTAACGGACCTAGCAAAGAAAAGGGCGAAGTTTAGGGCGAGAAATACCAAAGAGAGCTGAAACACGCAAGAAATATGAAAGACACAAACCTTGAGGACAACCTCCGTTTCATCCGGAAGCTTCACTGTGACATCCACAATAACCGGAAGAACTGCACATAAACCGTTTTAATTTGCAATTCCAGTTATATTACCGGAATAAACTCAATAATCAGCTCGAATTTTGCAGTCCCACACATATATACGTATAAATCTATATGTACATATCTGTGTACCTTTATCTTCCTTCTTCTTCTTGTCTCCTTTAGCCTTCCCACGGCTGTTCTTGGGAGCCATTCTTCTTCTTCTTCTGTAGAATGAAAACATTTCATCACCGATTAAAACAAGCCCATTTTCAACGGTTTTTTTTTTTGTTATATTTTATTTTATTTTTAAAATCATTTTCAAATGGACGCTCACATCGAATTTACCAGATTATAAGCTCTAACGACAGTAATGCTCCGTGCCCCATAAACACTCAATTATCACGACGAACCACAAACCAAAATACGGTAATTAATTCACTGACTAATAATCCCTTTCATATATTATACACTCTTATCCATTCGAACCACAAACACAAACTTGAAGATTTCAATATATATATATATATATATATATATCATCAAAAAAGGAAATTCGAGATTTTTTTTTTCAATAGTTACCAGACGAGCGGAAGAGCTGGGCGAGAATCAATTTATTTGGGCTTGAGAGGAGAGATATTTAATGAAGAACAAATTTATGAAACCGAAAAAAGAGGGAAAATAAAGAAAAACAGTGTAAAGAGTTTATTAATGGTCGGGAGAAAGGCAGAGGGAGCGCGACGGTTTCATGGAGAAACGGAGATAGAGAGAGAGGGAGGGAGTGATAAGGAAGGAAGGGCGGAGATTCAACTGTCAGATGGTCGAATGGCATTTTATGGACGTCCGTGGCTTATACCGTAATTATCTCTTCGTCCAGGGGTTCTTTTCTCTCTCTTTTTTTCACCAAAAAAGAAAGAAAATTCCAAACTTTTTTCATGATATACGTACATGTATATCCCTTTGAGAATATATATTACAATTTGACCTTGCTTTTTTTTTTTCTTCATATTTTCATATTTTGCTTATTGAATCTCTTTAAAATTTTCACAAAATTTTAGGACCGGTAAATATACTACTGAAAAATTCTAATATTATAAAAACACGTAAGATGATAAAAAAAATAAATAAAATATTTGCATTTTTCAGATAAATTATTTAACACTTTTATATAGATATATAAAATTTTAAAATATTATCAGATTTTGATAACAAGATTTTTGCTAAAAAACAGATATTTCACTAATCACTATATTTTCTCAATATATAAATATTATAATCACTATTATTTTCATGAAAATCTAAGAATATTTTGAATATATGCATGTAGAAATTTAAAATAATTAGTATACTTGGGCGATTTAAAGTCGGAAAAATTGTATTAAAACACAAGTCAATAGTAGGTAAATAACTATCTGCCAGAGTTGGATATACGTTAATAAGTCACAATTATCAAACATTTATTTTCTTATGTTTGCATTTTTTTTTATTTTATCCTTGAGTTAATTTCCAACAAAAAGTGGACATTTTGAGATACGGCATGTGATGAATAAAATCTATAAATACTATATATTAACGTATATGTTAATCAAATGGGTCTTATAGATGTATCTCATGCTTTATATATTCATATGATATATTATCTGATATAATATTTTGTGCATTTGTGAATTTAAAACATCAATGCATAATATATCGAAAATTTTATTATATGATATGTATCATACAGATTTATGACCATTAAATACGCAGTTTTGGAACCCCCCTTAATTATAGGTTAAATATGTTGGTTTAAAATAATAATAAATAAAATGTAATTTTGAAAAATATTGTCCGTGAGAGGGAAGGGAAGGCGGTTTTGTCGTCCTGTAATATTGGCAGGTCACAAGTGGTAGGAAGAAACAAGGTGGGGGACCTCATCCAACGATGGGGTCCACAGAAAATGGGTGCTCCGACGAATCACACCCGTCCAAGGTTCTTAAACCGGCTGTAATCTGACGGCGTACAATAGGGCCACGTAGAGCCGGCACATCCCATCATCGTAATCCAGAGATAACCAGACATTTGAAGCCAATTTGCTGTGAAATTCGGTAATGCTGCCCAAAAACAAAACACCGGCATTTCATTAATGTGTATTAACGTTGCTGCAATCGGTCCCTAATATCGTTGATATTCAATTGGTGAAATGTATTTGGTGTCACCAAGTAACATGTCATATGTCTATGTTTTTTTTTTAAAAAAAAAATAACTAACCGTCTCATCCAATAGTTGGTGTCTCAGTGGTTGAGAGATGACAAAGTCATTTCGTGGGTTCGATTCTACTGATGGAAAGAAATGTAATTTCTGGACTAAAATAGTCCATATACAAAGGTTGATCCCGAACTTAGAAAGGATGTAGTCGAATCAAAAATCTAGAAAATCATCCTGGTTATAAAAAAAAAAAAGAACTAACCCTCTCACATAGCATGAGCATTTAGATAGTGAATACGGGCAGATGAACAAAGAAGCATTGGTAGCAGCCACTACAATAGTGGAAGACCTTTGAGTGGGGCGGTATTAGATGTTTAATATATGTCGGAAAATGGAAATACAGTAGGGCTGAGATCATGGTTATTTATTATTGACATTATTTAGAGATTTTTCAATTGAGTAAACAAATGAAATGATACGGGAAAAAAAAAAGGGAAGTGGACCTTGGGAATAAAGTAGAGGTTCTTTTCGGGCCTTTGGTTGGCATACGGCTCGAGTGAAACCCACGTGCCCTCATGTAATGAAGTGATCGTACAAACTGTGAGAAAAAAATAAAAGATAGAGTGAGGTTCAAAGTGACGAAAGGTGAAGGTGGGGGGAAATTGGAGATGGATGATTGGTCAAACCTAAATTTTATTAAACCCAATAGGAGCTTCTCGTTTATGTCCGGTAGATCCAATAATAATAAACGATGGCGTCATCAGTTCGACCAAACAAGGGGGTTGAAACCTGTCCTCCTCACTTTCTTACAAAGGAAACACCAACAAAGTTTTAAATGCGTTTGACATTACTCCTTGCCACTGAACTAATCTGACTTGTTTTTTTTAAAAAAAAATTGAACTTTATAGAGACATTTCCTACTGATTTTTGTTTATTTAATTATAAAAAAAAACACAGATGCACAATTGGGAGAGGTCTGGTCTACTGCCAAAGCTGCTAACTGGTTCATTCTTCAACACAGACAGTGAGAGTGAGACATATGGCATCCGATTTTATGCCCATTTGTTTTGCTTTGTTTTTTTTCCTCCTCGTGCCATAAACAAGAACAGTGTTAGTTTTTTTTTTGGTACTTCCTTTGGTACCCAAAAAAGGAAAAGAGGGAAAAGCCTACAAAAGTAGGAGGCACAGTCGAAATGTCCAAGAAGAGGAAGAGGGGAAGAATTCCGCATGAATGAATGTTGCTCATTTCTTGTTGCTGGCAAGTAATTTCTTGGGGATTTGGTGAAGAGGTGTTGATTTCAGGAGAAAAAGCCTGGCCGCTCGCTCTTGCAGGGTCCCTCCGCATTTCATCCCCCTCTCCTGCAGCTCTCTTTTCAATCTCTCCATCCCCAGGACCTGTGTCCAATCCCCCCACCAATTCAGTGAACAAACGTCAGAGTGTGATCGACAGAAACAGCAATTGATCACAATTCAGATGCTACAAGTGTCCGACTCAGCAGAGCGTCGAACGAGGTCCAGGAAAGACTCGTTTAGGACATAATACAAAAGCATTACCTCCATGTCTGCTGCTGAACTGAAGTCATCAAAGCTAATCGGCTTCTTGTCAGATTGATCACCCTTCCCATCAACAGAGTTGGTTTCCTTGACGGCTTCACCATTCACCAAACTCGATGGCTTCGAGGGTTGGGGAGCAACTGCCAGTGGGCCCTTGCTCTTGTCTCCACTCAAATCCACCTCCTTTTCAGCTTGACCTGCTTCCCCATCAGTAACCACTGATGCATTTTCCAGCTTTTCCTTGATAATCTCAGGTTCCACACCAGCGCTCTCCGCCATTGGTACATCTGAAATTTGGTGGCCAACACTGTCTTTTTCTTCCTCAGAACCACTCTCACACGAAGCTCTACCAGAGGAATCCCTGTCCTGGCCTCCACCAATAACCAAGCCCAAGCTCCCCTCTGTATCCTTATCCGAGACCACTTGGCTACCGTTGTCTAGAACAACGGATTTCTCATCGCCTTCCTCGTCGCTGCTATCATCACTGTCACTATCTCCCATAACTCTCTTTCCCATCCTGAAAAAGATAGAAGAATATCAACAGTAAGCAAGGGGCAGATGATGAAGCCATCTATTCTCATAATCTTCATTCAGAACATGCAAGACATACAAAAACTCCCGCATTGCGAATACACAAGACGAACTATTTTCTGTTGATCCATCAAAGCCAATACCCAGTAGGAAACATAAAGAACCAATTTTAGATGCAGGCAATCTCGTCATAAGTTCTAGACACAAAATTATCCCCAAACTTCAGTTCTTATAATTCAGACAATAGCCACTCAGATCACCTAAACCCTAGAGGGTGAAGGAGATCATACCATATCTTCAATCGCTTCGACTTCTCTGAATCTGCGTTCATATTCTCCTTCCTCTTCCCGTTCTGGAAAGATTCTTTGAGCGCCATCTCCACCGCCTCGATGCACTTATCAGATTCTTTCCTGTACTTCTCCACATACTTCTGCGCCTCTCTGTCTCCCACGCCTTGCTTCCCCTTCTTCGCCTGCTTCTTCAGGAACTCCTGCGCCAATTTCTCGAGCTTCCTCTCCTCCTCCTCCGCCTGCCACTCCTCCAGCCTCTTCTCCGCGTTAACATGCCTCAGCCTCCGCCCACTCATATCCCTAC